ATTATTTTTTTCAAAATGTGATATAAACCAGAATTAAGTAAGTTGAAGATAAACCCTTTTTTTCTCTAGAAGTGATTTTTTTATGTGCATCTGCAGCTTCAACTTCCCTAGCAAGGGAGCTCCAGACCTGACATTATCAAGAGTCTAGGGTTCTGAATTTTACTGGTAATTTTAATTGTTGTGTTTGTCTTCTTGGCAGGCTTTTTACCCTGTGGAACACCCAGTAGATGTTAGTTTTGGTGACATATTGGCAGCAAGATGTGTATTCACTGGAGAAGGAAGGACTGAAGCCACTCACATTGGGTATGATCTTAAAATTGTCTAATTTGGGGAATTTTCATTGGTAAAGCATGATTATAGATGACAGTTGTATTTGTGAATGAGCTGCACTTTGTTTTATCCTTGCCATTTTTTAACTGCGTAATGTGGACATACTGCCCCCTCAAAAAAGAAAAATGCCCATTTTTCTATGCCATCTTTCTAACTGCTTATTCCAAAAACATTCAATCACACCTTTAATATATGGGGAACATTTAGTAAGTTTACATAAAAATCCCATAATCTTTTCATTCCATTTTTCCAAGAACTTTTGAAGCTCCCTCAAATAATAGCTACTACAGAGTATCTATTATTCTCTTGTTGTTATGTGCCATGGAGTTGGTTCCGACTCATAACGACCCTGTACAGGGTTTCCAAGGCTGTAAATCTTTACAGGAGCAAAAAGTGTCATCTTTCTTCCGCGGAACAGCTGGTAGTTTCGAACTGCTGATCCTGAAGTTAGCAGCTCGATTCGTAACCACTACGCTATATTCTCTTAGACTCTTCTTAATAAAGGAAAATATAATGGTTATGAAAAAGTCTTCTTGCCCTTTTTTCCTGTGTTCCAATTAGGCAAATAGATGGGTTCTGCATCTGGTTTGTTATTGTTGTTAAGTGCCATCGAATTGGTTCAGACCCATAGCGATCCTGTATAGGGTCTCCGAGAAGTTGTTGGTAAGCTTGAACCGCCGACCCTGCAGTCTTGCACATTAACAGTGCCTATTAAATAATAAGGAATCTTAATGTAGGATAAGTGTTGGAATGCTAACAGCAGTTTAAACGCACCATCTGCTCCTCTGAAACCATATACAGGATCCTGACGCAATGGCACTTAACAACAACAACAACAACAAGATCCCTTACAGTAGTTAAGCACTTGGATGCTAACTAAAAGGTCAGGGGTAGAAACTCAACCAAAGGCTGCTCAGGAGAAAATAAATAACAATCTGCTCCTGTAAAAATTGTTGTTATTGTTAAGTGCCATCGCGTTGGTTCCTACCCACAGTGATCTTGTCTGACCCATAGCAACCCAGTATAGGCTTTTTGTAAGCTTGAACTGCTGAACTTGCAGTTCAAGCCAACTTTGCAGTCCAGCGCCTTAACCCACAGTGCCACATCAGAACTCCCCTATAACAATTACATCTTATGAAACCCTATGAGACAATTTGTCTGTGTCCTATATCATCACTATGAGTTGGAATGTACTTGGAAGCACACAACAACATTAAATAATCAGAACCATAAGACCTATTTCTCTCTCTATTAAATACTAAAATATATTTAATAGTTGTCCAGTTTTTCATCTATTATATTATTATTATTATTATATTCCAAAGTGAATATCAGAATTCTTAAATATTTTCCAAAATACTAAGCCTTCTTTAAAGTACATTTTGTAACACTAAATAAACGTTTGAAGCACTATGAGCTTTCAAAAAATGTTGACCTAAATAAAAAATGAAAGATAAAGCGTCATACTTTTTGTTAGAAAATAATCAAGAAACCGTCTTTCCATGTTAAATTAGGTGATAAAATATTTACTAATGCCACCTAGAAGCTAGAATTTTAAATTATTTATCTCTAGATCAAAGAGATGTTACAGAAAGTAGCCAGGTGAAAATAGACGTTAGATTCACTGAAGATGTTTGTTAAGACAGCAACACTATTTGTTGTCAGTGGAAGAGGAAACTACTACTGGTGTAGGTATGAATATATGGCTTTTGAGCTAATGAAATGCAATTCTTTATGTCACTCAGAGAGATTTTATATTGGTGAGCATCAATTTTAATACTAATAATAGAAAAAATATGAATTTATATTATACTTCTCCAACAGTATTGCTTTGTATACATCTGATAAATTTGGGAAAGAAACTTGAGGAAAGTAATGAATTTACTGACTTACAGGAAATGGTAATAAAAAGGTTGACAAAAGTATATGTAATTAGATTTGAAGGAAAGGGTATTACTTTCAGTTCTTCTTGTTAGGTGCCATCGAATTGGTTTCAACTCATAGTGGCCTTATATACAACAGAAGGAAGCACTGCCAGGGCCTCAACCATCCTCATTATTATTGTTAGCCTGAGCTCATTGCTGCTGCTGCTGCAGTACCAATCCATCTTGTTGAGGGTCTTTCTCTTTTTCACTGACCCACCACTTTACCTAGCATGAAGTCATTCTCCAGGGACTGGTTGGTTCCTCCTGATAATCTGTCCAAA